GGCATTATACCACAAACAAGTTAAACTTATACACGAACAGACAAAAACATATGAAACTACTTATTAATAATATTATGAAAAGAATTTAACTATTTAACAATGTACTCTGAAATTACAGAAACAAAATAGGATTGCCGGTACGCAAAAAAAAAAATTAAGCCGACCTTCAAACACTCCGGAAACGCGGAAAGAGCGCTCGTGCCAGTCCTACTCCGCATCACACATTAAATGAAGAGCGGAGCGCTCGTTTCACCGCCCAACCTTTATCCGCCCTGCTCCCAACCTTCTCGCGAATCCACCGCCAACTGACTACTACAGCACTCGCCCGCTAATCCCGCCAGCTACGCAACCAGGCTGTAATCCATGGTTGGTTAGCATGACATCTCGTATACTCTGTATGTTGTTAATCCAGGTAACTAACCGAACTTCAACAAACTCGGCCCAGCACATTTTCTACCCTGAAACATCGAATAAGCCGTTATTTAGTATGGCCATTGGAGTAGGGGGCCAACTTTTTAATGGTAAAGGATGGTGATTCTAGACCTATTTACAAGCATTGCCCTTTGACCTATGATACTACCAATTGTATTGCATTCTTCCCCCTCTCGTCCGCCACACCGTCTGTCCTACTTATAAATTCATTACTAAGGTGCTGATTAATAAATTTAAAAAGTGAATTTTAATTCGGACTGAAACTGCATTTGCCCTTCTTTTCTTCAGGAAACCATTGAAATGGAGGACAAATGTTCTTTTCAAGAACCCATGGCGAGACTAATTAAAGGCAACCTTTTTCTTGACGTTTTTGCTTTTTACAACAGAGTTGACGTAGTTGAAGATCCTTCCGAGAATAGGCTTAAAAAGTACCATAAGAATGATTTCTATCCATTTCGACCGTGTAGCTTTATGGGATTGCAGGCATCGTGTCCAAATAACTCTTGGGAAGTGCTACGACTATATTTTGGCAGTGACAACTTGGAACCTATCCACAAGTGTAAGAACGGTTCTTGGGATGATACAAAAAAATGAGACAACAGAATGATAACGATTATCATCATAATTATTATAGGAGCTCTTGGGCTGCTGATTTTTATTATTATTTTTATTATTAGTAACATTTTTTAAAAAAATCACTACTGAATGAAACTAGACAAAATTTGAAAAGAGTCTGAAAAGAAAATAGACTACTGAACGCCGAGAATAGCCGGTAATTAGAACTGGACCACGGATGATTCAGGAAGCACGTAATTAACCAGGAAAATTCAGGTCCGGTCTCAAACTACTGAAATTTCTAAGTAGAAGACAGCGACTAGAATTCCTACATATTTCACTTGAAAAAGGAAAAATATTGCTTATTTGCGGCAAGTGACGACAAGCAGCCTCGGAAACTTTTTATTTTTTACCTCTTTTAGCCGATTTGTTACTGAACCCTTCACGCCTGCTACTAAACCTATGGATATTTTCATTAAAGAATTTTCACCTGGTACAATTTTTACCAGGTGAAACCCCATCACTCTACTCGAGGCAGCGAAGGCGAAGAGTGTGGTAAAAAACAGTTTTCACTGCATAGTGAACATTTTATTCACATTTAATTGTAGAAATGTCACGTGAAAATTAAAAGACACTTCTAGATTATATATAAGAACGTATCGTAACAAAACATAGCCTAGATAGAGCATGCGTTTTACTGGTTTGAGAAGAAAAGCTGCTTCAGGTTAGCCTGTGACAATCAACATCAGCCTCCACTAGTAAACTATACTCCTACAACACGTCAATAGGAAATCCAAAATTCAATGTTTCGGACGTCTGGTTCGAGTTATCGAGGGTAAAATTATATAGAAAGTGACCTGAGAGGAAGAGAAAATTGGTTCGAGTTAGCGCGAGTTCGAGTTATCCAGGGTTCGAGTTACCGAGGGTAAAATTACAGTGAATGTATGACGGAAATCCAGGGGAAATCGATTTTAGTTCGAGTTAGCGAGTACAAATACTTTTATCGCAGAACCCCGCAAAGTTCCGAGGAGGGTGTCCAGTAAAACGTTAAGGATGGGCTATAGATGGGGAGAAAAACGCTCATTTTCGCATCCTCATTTTCTCCTAAAATCATTTTGCTTGAGAAGTAATATCAAGCATTTGACACAGTGTTTCAAAGCGGACGACGTGAGGTGATCTCGGCCAAATGAGCGTCCAGATAAAAAAGAATAACAAGTCGTTGGCGCTAAAAAGAAAAAGGAAAAAACCAAAACAAAGGAAAGCAAAGAAAGACGACCCAATGCTAATGACCCAAGAGACAACGAAAATTCTATGTCAGAAAAAGTACAGACTACCCTATTGATTGGTGACACTATGATAAAAAATATTCAAGGTTCGTAGCTAGCGAAAGCTGTTGGCCATCAGGTAGTGGTAAAGTCGTTCTCTGGTGCCACGTCATTTTGCACGTCAGCACTAACGACCTCAAGCAGAAAGAGTTAAGGGTTACTGCCGGCAGAATTGATGGGAACTTATTCAACATCGAAATATCACTGAGAAGGGATTAAATCAAGGAGGACTGCATCTTAATGTCAAAGTTAATCAACAATTTTTTAAGAAATTTCGTGTTCGCGCGCGTAGTTCACCTTGGATTACGTCTGAGCTAAAGAAACGAATGTATGATCGAGAAATTCTTAAAATTAAAGCATGTAAATCTAATGATCCCAATGATTGGACGTAATTTAAAATACTACGCAATATTGTAAATTCAGAAATTAGCTTAGCCAAGCAAACCTATTATCAAAACAGCTTTAACCAATATACAGGCGATTCAAGGAAGACCTGGCAGACTATCAATGAACTTACTTCACGTAAATCTGGGAAAACAGCGATAACATCTCTGAAAGTAAATGGAGTAACAATAACCAATCCAACTGAGCTTTCGAACGAATTTAATAATCATTTTGCTACTATCGGTCCAAGACTTAGCCGTAATATTGATTGTCCAGATGGTAATGTTTATCAGATGTACGTCACCAGTACAGACCGGTGTTTTCAGCTCCGTCCGAGCGCTGTTTTGTCACTTTTGAATAAACTAAACAAGTCAAGGTGTGTCAGGAACTGTTATGTTAATCTTGTTGTTTTTCCGGACAGTAATTAATTCGCTGCGATTCAAGGTTGTTGAACCTTCAGTACTGTTTTGAGCCAGCGGTTTTTGTCATTTACACCCATCATCCCTTGCGCGGATGGAAGGACCATGTGCTTTTGTAAGATGGCGTCGTTGTGTTATGGCGCCTGTATTTTCGTCCGAGCCTTTTGTTAAGGTTTATCTTAGTTTACAAAGGACGGTGTCGATGTTCAGAACGGCAGTGCGCAAGACCATTAATACCGTAGAGGCTTAGTTTTCATAAAAGGATCTCGTGGTCCACCGTGCCGAAAGCCTTTTTTAAATCTAGGAATACGACAGCATTGATTTTGCCACGGTCAATAATATATGCCCAAGTATCCGTGGCCTCAAGAAGAGCCGTCACAGTGGAACGAATAGCACGAACGCCCGATTGACATTTACAGACGATGTCGTGTTCTTCTAAATAGGCATGCATATAATTGATCATAGACAATTGTTTCAAACACCTTGGTCACAACTGAGATTACAGAAATTGGGCGATAGTTTGTTAAGGTCATCTCTGTCCCCTTGTTTGAAAAGAAGGGTAACTCGTGCACATTTCCAATCATCGGGAAATATACATACACTAATTGATTGGTTAAAAATATCACAAATAGGGATGCAAATGAGATCTGCACCTTCCCGGATGAGCCTAGCAGATATCTTATCAAGACCAGTTGCCCTTGTGTAACGGCATCGATCCACACACAACAGACGTTTCAACTCCATTTTATTCGTAGAGAACTAGTAGTAGCAGATGTAGGTATCAAGTATTTTTTCAGCAGGGTAGGGTGGCTTTGGGCAAATGATGTATCGGTCCCCAGAAAGGTCACCTCAGGACTCCCGGGATGGTTTTTTTTGTACAGTGCCCAGGCCTCATTTTCCTGGCCGCGCGTTGATCTGGCCCGGCTGCTCCGGCGAGCATATTCTCGGTCTGTTTGGATTATATCTTTCGAGTTTGTCAAAGTCTGTGGGATTCGTTTCTCTATCTGGGAAAGCTTCACTGGTTTTTATGTCTGCAGCTATTCTAGTTCTACGATCCTGGCATGTTTATTTTCCGTTGGAGTTCGAACTCGTGGAAAAAGTTGTGTTGAATGAGACCATGTCGGTGAAAATGGCATCTCGTGTTTCCTACCTTGTATATTATTATTGTATATAGAGTGAATTTGAACAAATTACTGCAAATTATCACGAAACTTCGTTGGAGCAATAAGGACAACAACAATTAACTGCAGAGTAAGTTTCATTGATCTTTATTTAGTATTTCCTAGAAATGTTAGGATGGTATTTTTACCCAATACAAACACTGTAATTTTACTGGAACCGTACTGTGGTACTATCACAGAGCCTGGGTTACCTGTGGTGAAATTCGTAAAAGGGCGCTGAAGAGAAAGCACGTGCTTGAGCCAACGTTCCAATGGCCAGCTGTGTTGCTGATCCACACGAAAGCGAGGCAAAGTGTGCCACTAACAAACGTCGAGAATCAAACTGGTGAAGTAGGTCTGCTGCGAGGGTAGCGAGCTGCAATGAAACTTATTTGTTTATTTTTACCGAAATTTAGCTTTAAAAATCTCATATAATGTGAATTAGATGTCAAATTCGGAAACTGATGCAAAAAAAATATGCGAGGCAGACGTTCGAGGCATCTGAAATCACGCGAGGGGACACGCGAGGGAGAAAACACATAAAGAAAAAGAATTGCACGGGTATACTGAATACACGACATCTTCAGCTTTCAAAGAATCCTCTGTTGACCTACATTGCTTCATTCTCACTAAAAGATTCTTAAGGATTTTTTCTCTTGCGATAAAGGAAGGGATGGGAGCTCCTTAAAAGTTCTCTTAGATATTTTTAGTTCTGCATAAGGTGCCATTTCGCCATTATTAATTTCTTTAGGCTGGATAAAGTCGGGTGGTATCGCCGTGTCAAAAAAGTAATCCTGTACGTGCAGGTTTTTTCCTCTATTGGAAGGCTGTTATCCTGTTGGCATGCAATGTAACTGACCACAGAAATGTACTTTCTCACCCCTGGGTACGTAGCCTCTATTTCAGACGTTTTCTGTCCTCAAAACTGGTTCGAGAGGAATTTTTCTTATGTCATTCCTGAGAGCTTAGGTCTCTGTGAGTTTTCATGCGTTTTCACGTCCAAGGTGGAATCGTTACTAACACCTTTGTACACGTGGGCATCTCAACCGTGACTAAAAATAATAACTATTTAACAGTTTTAAACGCGTAAGTATAATAATAATAATAATAATAATAATAATAATAATAATAATAATAATAACAATAATAATAATAATAATAATAATGAAACATTTGTATAGCGGATACACAGCAGCTCTATGCGCTTTACACAATATTCACACGATTGTAAAAATTAAAAATTAAAATTTAACATTAAAACTAAT